ACTTTTGAGTTGGCCCAAATCACAGTACTTTGTTGAGCCAACTAACAGGAAAAATGAAGCTCTGTGACTGGCCCTTTGCAAAACTCAAATACTTAGGCAGAATTAAGAAATCTGTCTGATTGTACAGCTCTGTAATTCACTGCTGCACAGAGTTCACACAACATGCAACATATGCCCAAAGGTAATGCATAAGCTTTCCAAATTCACCTCAGACTTTTGGTGAATTTTGGGAAATTTGGTGAACTTCTCAGAAGTTACCTCAGAAACTGTGGGAGAGGCTTTGCTGGCCATTATTTATATCAGAGAAGGGTGCTGACCAACCTCTTTTCTGGCATCTTCAAGACTGGCATCAGGACAAATGAAGACATCTCGACTGCACTGCACTGGCTCTTTTCCTGTTAGGCCTGCAACAGTCACCTTGATCTAACAGGAGAACAAATATATTATTATAAAACAAAAATTCAGGGCATTTTTCTTATATGTTAGTTCTTAAGTAGTGCAAGCAAAGGTGTACTGAGAGCTTGTTCCTCTTCTGACAGCCAAAACAGGGAGTACAGTGATGGAATGAAAAAGTGGTGGGAGAAGGTAATTTTTATTTCAGTCATTTCTATATAAGTGAAGTTAGTATGCTTATTTAAAGTATTATTTTCATTCCTAATGAGATAACAGTGTGCTACTAAAACTACAAGAGTAACAAACAACTTAAGGAATCCCAACAGCCAGAACTGTAATAAATAGCTTTTCCTGAGCTACTTCTGAAATTCAGTTAAGCAATGTCATGAGCTGTAATACACTGAGGTTTTCAGACCCCTACAAAAGAGGCACTTCCAGTTACTACACCTGGAGGTAGCTGTGTTTTCTGACAGAGTAGGATTTACTTGAAATATTTGCTCTAGTTCACATCAGATTTTGGTATTTTTAAAGGTTACCAACAAATGTCAGCATGACACAAGTATTTGCTAAGCAGTAAGATGATGAGGGTAAATTTTTACTTCACAGACCACACACTGAATTCCAGGAAATGAACCTCAGCTTGAAGCAATGATTTCCCCTTGACCAGATTATTCACTGCCTCATACTCACCCCAGCTCTTCTCATAACATCAGTGGGGATTACAGTTTCCATCTCCTCTGCCCCCTTAGCCAGGATCACCAATGCTCTCTTGGAGGCCATGTCTTGAGGGGCTGCTATGAGGGAGGTGGTTGTGAAGGAAAGGGCTGAGGGGGATAAAAGATAATGTGGTTAAAAGGCAAATCCCCTTATGCTGAAACTGAACAGTAATTTGTACTTTTGCATGTTCTTTCATTTAAACCATCTCAAAATTCAATCAATACTCATCAATTTCATTTAAATCAATATTCATTTAAATCAATATTCATAACATCCATTTAAATCAATATTCATAGCCATCCTGTCTAACTAAGGAGCTTTTTAGAAAGAATGCATTATGATATTAAGGCCCTTGGGTAAGTGGGAGGCACAGCACATCAGCACCAGGAGAGGAAGCAGCCTGGCCTAATCAAGACCTCAATCATGACCTGTGTCTAACAGAGAGGGGTTCAGGTTCAGGGTGGGAGGCAGAGCTGTTTTCAATTTGCACACCCTCACTCTTTCCGAGATTATTGACTCCCACCCAGGCCAGCACTTACAAAAAGGGCTTGCACAGGCTTTGACCTCATGTCTGGTTTTTAGTTTCCACCCAGCATGCTGCATGAGGAGTTTCCTGTGACTTAACAGTGAGTTGAGCAGTGCCCCTGCAAAATCTCACCAACAGATTTTCTGGGTTATTTTGCAACTTTGTGGGAGATGAAACACATGTGCACACGTGTGATGGGGGAGCAGACCACAGGACCTAGCAAATGGAACAAACCAGGCTTAAGGCTTTTTTTTTTTTAACTTTTAAATTCAAGTTGAGGTGAATGGCCAAGTTTCCACTTGAAGATTAAGTTAAAATAACTTTACATCATGTAAAATATCCACTAACTCATACAGGTCTGAGAGAAGGCTGTGAAAGCCTCTGTGATGTGAGGAGGCATTTCATAGGTTACTACTCTGTAAGACAGAGATTTCTGTGCTATGCAGGGACCTTCCATCTAGAACTGCACATAGTACCTGGGAGCTCTTCATAAAATGTGATGCACGTTTAGGTGCCTACATAAAATCATCCTCCCCCTGCTTTAACTTCATCTCTTTTCATGTTTTCTCCCTGCTGGTAGCCTCCTTTAGAATGTTATTTCTAGGACGCAGTAATATACAGCAAACCATCCCACAACATGCTGAACCAGCCCAAACAGAATAATTCACTGTGTCATATCCTACTTTTAGGGCAGCTTTATGTACTGTCAATGTAAAGCCCACTAATCAAGTACACCCAAATCTCAGGTATTAGCAATAACTCCAGAACAACCTAGAGCTTCTTAACAGCTTGTGGGTACACATGGATTTGGCAAAATTTTCATATGAATTTGACTAGCAAAAAACTACCTGAATAGCCACCATGCAGAAATGCTGCACTTGCTTTTTATTGAAGAAAAATAGTCTAGATCACAGTTTGCATCCCTTTCATTAATTCTTTAGATGAAAACAGGCACATTTACTCTTTATCCTAGTTTTGCAAAATGCAGTCTCTCCATAATGCCTTTAGATATTTATTGTACAAATCTTGAGCATTAGTACTGTTCTTCATGTGGGTGCATATGTAAATAGCTGTCCCACTACTACGGAAAGACAGTTTTTGAGAAGGCAGGACTAAGTTACACAGACCTAACAACTTCATTTAACAATCTACCTACACATAGTAAATGCCAGTCTCCCATTTGCTCCTCAGTGCAGCTGAGGCCGCCTCAAACCCCTCAGCCAAAGGCACAGCCCTGCGTGGGTACAGGAGCCCTTCTGGAGATGGTGAATCACAAACTCCAACCAGGGTGGCTTTAAAAGCAATCACACCCTGCAGTGCCCCGAGCACAGCCCGC